GTGGCCTGGGTCCTGGCTTCGGCTCTGTGGGCACAAGCAGGTGGTTTATGTCCTCCCAGTCTCCACATCCTCAGGCTGAGTTGGGAGGATGACCCTTGCCTCGCTTGAGATCTGGTACCTCCTCAGGGGAAGGGGAGCTGATGATGTGGAGCTGCCCCTCAGAGCACAAAGCTCCTTCCAGATCCAGGCGGGGGCTGCTCAGGCCTTGATGTCCCTCCCTGGTGCCCACTGCCCCTCCAAGCCCCATGTCTTCCACGTGCCTGCAGTGCTCTGGAAGCATATGATAGAGGCCCAGGGCATCCAGCCAACCCAGCGCCTGGACATCAGTGCCCTGGCCAAGGTCTCCGATGGCTACACACCGGGTCACATTCTCCAAGCCATCCAGTCGGTGCTGAGTGAGCGGCGGTTCCTGCAACTGTCCAAGCGGCCCCTGGTGGCCTCCGAGTTCCTGGGACAACTGTCGAAGCTGGATCCAGTGTACAGGGAGGAGGAGGAGTCCCTGAAGGTGAGGTAGCAGGTGCAGGGGCTGTGGGTGAGCAGCGCCTTTGGCGAGTCAGGCCCCCCAGATCACACCTCGTACCCCTCGCCTCCCTCTGGTAATTTGTAACTCCCACAAATTACCAGAAAACAATTGGTGGAAATGCATGTGGAGCTCAGCTGGGAAGGGAGCAGGAAATCACCAGGAAATGCCAAGGCTTTGGTGCTGTCCCACCTGTTTCCCTGAGGGTGGGGGCTTGGAAGGGCCACCAAGGTATCAGGAGCCCTTGGTGGGTTCTGACAGCAGCTGGCACCCGCCTTTCCTACCCCTGAGTCAGTGCCCACCCAAGGATGGTCTTGGGAGCACAGGAGAGAGGGCTGCAGGTGTGGAGGGAGGAGGGCTTGTTCCCTGAGAATGGCCGACATCATGCCTAAAGCACTTGGTGGGGAGCAAGGGAAGCCTCAGCTCTAGTAGGACCTCCAAACCCTGGGCAAGAGAAAAGGCTGCTGAGAAAACAGAGTCTGAGAAAAGGGGAGGGGTGAGGTCAGGATGGGTCCGAGGGCCTTACCACTCCTGTGCCCATCAACCCAGGACTGGTACTTCAAGACCCCATTGGGCAAGAAGAACATGAAACACAGGATGGACCGGTTGGAGGCTGAGGAGGCCAAGCTGGCCAAGGAGAAGAAGAAAAGGAAGTGATGGCTGAGGCCTTCGGGCACCTGAGATTAGTGGGGCGGGACAGGGTAGTGGCCCAGGGGTAAAGGGATGGGGCAGAGGCATAAATGCCCAGATGACTTGGGGACAGACTCTCCTTGTCCATCCATGTCTGTGTCTTCCCACCCTTCCTTCTGTGCCCCCACCTGTGTCTGCCACCGTCTGGCACCCACCTCTCTCCTGGGCCCTGGCCCTCGCCAGCTCACTGCCACCTCCCTGCTCTGGCCCCTCGATCCCTGTCCTCAGCCCCACTTCTAGGTCTTCAATTCCTTGTCATTGTCCTATCCTGGCTCCCTGACTCTCTTCTTCCTCAAAGTATTTAAGGGAGAAAAAATAGGAAGAGGAGAGAGGGGAGAAGGAAGATCTGCAGTCAGTATAGAAAAAGAAAACACACAAGTCTAGAAGTTAACTGTCCCTGGTTCTGACCCCACTTGGCACTAACTTCCTGTGTGACCCGGAGAGTTCTTTCCTGTCTCTGGGGCTCAGTTTCCTTACTTATAAAGTGAAGAGAGATTGGACCAGGAATTTCTAAGGTCCCTTCTACTCTAGGGTTTGACTATTCTAACAAAAGTGTCTGGGAAGTCTGGGCGGTGAAGGTGCTTGGGCAGCGGGGGGCAGTGGGCTGGGGAGCAGGGCTCAGCAATGGTGTGGGGAAGTGGTGGGGCTTTGTGACCAGGGCAAGGGCTGCTGGTAGACCCAATGCTTTGCTGGACATGGCAGTGCAGCATTGGCTAGACCCAATTTCTCTGGGTGGCCTTCATTTCTTTTCTCTAAAGACCTCTCCCCTGGCACCCTGCCTGCCCCAGCTCTGTACTGCATTCTCTGACCGCATCCTAACCTTCTGTGCTCAGTGGGATGGAGCCTCCTGCCCCTGGGGTGGGGGTCCATATGTGGGTTTCCCCTTGCTGGGGAGGGAACAGCTCAGCAGTGAATGGGGTCAGAGAACTTAGGGAGCAGGGGCAACCGTACCAAGGGCTGGGGAGCCCCAGGGTGTTCTCTTGGAAGAGGCAGATCCATGGACCTTGTACAGAGTGTGTGGATGAAGACCAAGGTGTGTTCACAGGTAGTAAGAGACAATGAGAGACCTGAAACTATAAAACCACTAGAAGAAAACATAGGGGAAATCTCCGTGATATTGGTCTGGGTAAAGATTTCTTGGATATGACCCAAAAGCACAGGCAATGAAAGCAAAAATAGACATATGGGATTGCAGCAAACTAAAAGGTTTCTGCACAGCAAAGGAAATGACAGAGTGAAGAGACGATCCACAGACTGGGAAAAAATACTTGCATTTCAAACATCGGATAAGGGGTGAATATCCAAAATACACAAGGAACTCAAACTACCTCAATAACAACAAAACAACCCTATTAAAAAATGGACAAATGACTTGAATAGACATTTCTCAAAAGAAGACATACAAATGGCCAACAGATATCTGGAAATATGTTCAACATCATTAATCATCAGAGAAATGTGAATCAAAAACCACAATGAGATATTATCTCATGTCTGTTAGATTGGCTATTATTGAGAAGGGAAATCCGTGTGCTGTTGCTGGTGTGGAAATTAGTACCATTTTGAAAAATAGAATAAAGGTTCCTCAAAAAACTGAAAATAGAATTACCTTATGATCCAGCAATCCCAGTACTGGGTATATACCCAAAGGAATTGAAATCAGAGGGCAGAAGCGATGTGCGTACCCCCATGTCCCCTGCAGCACTACTCACAATCTCCCAGACTTTGGAACAACTTGTGTCCGTCAGCGATGAATGGATTTTTAAATGCGGTGTATCTGGAGGGCATTATGCTAAGTGAAATAAGCCAGGTGCAGAAAGACACATACCGCATGATCTTGCTTATTGTGGAATCCAAAAATGTCAAACTCCCAGAAGTAAAGAGTAGAATGGTGATTCCCAGAGGCTGGGGGCTTGGGGGCGGTGGACAGGGAAAGGAGAGACATTGGTCAGTGGGTACGATGTTACAGGTAGATAGGATAAGTTCAGCTGTTTTATTGCACGGCAAGGTGACTATAGTGAATAATGATGTATATTTCAAAATAGCTAAAAAAGGATTTTATTGATTGATTGATTGAGACAGAGTCTTGCTCTGTCGCCCAGGCTGGAATGCAGTGGAGCGATCTTGGCTCGCTGCAACCTCTGCCTCCTGGGTTCAAGCGATTCTCTTGCCTCAGCCTCCCGAGTAGCTGGGATTACAGGCACCCACCACCGCACCTGGCTAATTTTTATATTTTTAGTAGAGATGGGTTTTCACCATGTTGGTCAGGCTGGTCTCGAACTCGTGACCTCATGATCCACCCTCCTTGGCCTCCCAAAGTGCTGGGATTACAGGCGTGAGCCACCATGCCCAGGCTTTAAGAGAGGATTTTAAATGCTTTCACCACAAAGAAATGGTAAATATCATTTGATAAGTGTGCTAATTACCCCGGTATGATTATACATTATATACATGTATCAAAATATATCCCATAAATACATACAATTATTGGTCAATTAAAAATGAAACTTAAAAAAGCAATTGATTACAAAAATTTTTTTATGCAGAAGGTATTCAGGGTAAAATATAAAAAAGAAAAAAAATTTTTAAGCCAGCGTGAGCCAAAGGGGCAAGACCACTGGGGGTGGAGCACCCCAACCCTACAGTGGGCAGTGGTGGGTCAGAGCTGAGCCTGGGTGCTTGGTTTCACATTTTCTTCCTCCCTTATTTTTCCTTTTGATCCACACATACCCCAAACAAAAGTCAGTGCCTGAGTAGACAGAGACACTTCTCCTTTCTCACTCTCTAGTGGAGACTTCATGTTACCACGGCAAAGGAGAGATGTCACCCGAGGTAGAGGTCATCCAGGGAGATTGAGGGTCAGCATCAAGGGCAGGCATGGGAGTTTCTGTGGCTGCCTGTGGGTTACACCCTGTTTTCCAGACACATGTCTGTCTTCGGGAGCCCCCTGAGTGGTGCCTCACACAGTGGGGACAATCTCTGTCACTACTGTGAACTCCTCCCTTGGTTTGGGAGTGGGAAGGTGCAGGGCTAAGAGATGACATTTGGAAGGGCAGGAAATATTATCTGGCATCCCCAAGCCTTCCTGGGGGATCAGAGCCCAAACGGCTGGAGGCTGGTTTGGTGAAGCAGAGAAGCTTGAGGTCCCAGGTTCCAGTTCTGGCTCTGCAACAAGTTCTCTGTGTGATCTTGGGAAATTCACTGCCCTTTAATGCTGAGATGACAGAATGGACTGCATGGTCCCTTTCCACCTGGAGGTCCTACAGCCCTGGGGCGTAGTTCAGGGTCAGAGGGCTCAGCCCTCACTTGTTCTCCTGCCCCTCCCTAATTCCCCCACTCAGCCTGACAGCTGAGCCAGTCTGGGCTATTTATGGCTTGGCCTGATGTTGTGCTCCCCTGTGCCTCCCACGCTGGGCCCCACCCAGCTTAGGCCCAGCACCCACCCGCCCAGTCCACCAGCCACATCGCCAGGAGTCCTGCTGCTTTGGCTCTCACAGAACAAGCCATGCCCTGGGGAAAGAACTCCTCTCACCACTGGGGACACCATCTGGGGTGCCTCCCTTCTGCCTCTGCCTGCCGGGTCTGGGGGCCCCACTCCCGCCCAGCCTGGGAGACCCGTCAGCCATCACCACTGCTCTGCCAAGACATGGCCCTGCAGAATGCCATCTACACCGGAGACCTGGCAAGATTGCAGGAGCTGTTCCCCCCGCACAGCACAGCCGACCTGCTGCTGGAGAGCCGGGGCGCAGAGCCTCGCTGGAGCAGCCACCAGAGGGGTGAGGGGCAGCTGGGGATGCTGAGAATGAGGGGGCTGGGCTGACCGCCTTTGCCACAGAGGTCCTAAGGGCTTGAGGAAAAGGAGAAGCCCCCGGCTGTTACTCCCCGACCTCAAAACTTGCCCAATAGCCTAAACCTTGGCCCAGGAACACAGTCATGCGGAGCCCAGAATAGCTCCTGCTGGCTGTGTGGCCAGGTCAGGCTTGGAGCAAGGGACACAGGGGCCGTCTGCCTCCATCTGGCTGTATTTCCCTCCTGCTCTCCCTCTCTCTACCTTTGGCATCTACCTCTCCTCCCTACTCCCCTCTCCCTGTCCACATTCTCATGAGTTGGTCTCCAGAAGACTGCAAGGGGCAGGGAGAGCCCCCCAATGACAGACACCCCCTCTGCGCCAGGCTGGTGGAGAAGCCCAGCAGAGGGTCTGAGGAGCACCCCAAGTCTGGCCCGGGACCCATCGTCACCCGCACGGCCTCGGGACCTGCCCTCGCCTTCTGGCAGGCAGTGCTGGCTGGGGATGTGGGCTGTGTCTCCCACATCCTTGCAGACTCCAGTACTGGCCTGGCTCCTGATTCCGTCTTTGACACCAGTGACCCAGAGCGATGGAGGGATTTCCGCTTCAACATCCGTGCTCTGAGTACGGGCCAGGGCACTGGGGGGGTCTCAGTGGGAGAGAAGGGAGGAAGCAGATGGAGCTCTGGGCTCCCTCTTCCTGCCTCTGGCCACCTCACCCCATTGGCTGGCAGGTCTTTGCCTTCCCTGGGGATCTAAGGCCCACGCCCCCTCTCCCCAGGACTCTGGTCTCTGACATATGAAGAGGAGCTGACCACCCCACTGCATGTGGCAGCCAGCCGTGGCCACACTGAAGTCCTGCGGCTACTGCTGAGGCGGCGGGCAAGGCCGGACAGTGCCCCTGGGGGCCGCACTGCCCTGCACGAGGCCTGTGCTGCAGGCCACACTGCCTGTGTCCATGTGCTGCTGGTGGCAGGAGCTGACCCCAACATCGCTGACCAGGATGGGAAACGGCCCCTGCATCTCTGCCGGGGGCCTGGCACCCTTGAGTGAGTGACCCCTCACCCCAAACCCCAGTTCCACTCTGAGGGGAGGCAACGAGGCCTTCTCAGGGAGGATGGGGGAAAATGTCAGGGCTATGGGGTAGATTAGTCCAGGCTTGGGGCTTAGGTCAGGGTGCAATTACTTCCCAAGCCATCCACCCGTTAACCCCATGAACTTTGTAGTTCATGGACTTTGGACTTTGTAGTTCTGGACTTTGGACAGTTTTCTGGTCTCCCAGGGGTGGAGGGAGGCTGTGGCAGGGGTGCAGTTGCATGGCCTGCATTGGGAAATTGCCTGGCTCCATTATGGAAGGTGGTGTTGCTTAAAGGTTTTTTAAAACACTTTCTGAGCTTATTCTATGTTCCAGGCACTGTACTAAGTACATCAGCAACTAAGTCATGGCCCTGCCTTCAGGGAGCTTACTGTCCATTGATCCAGACAGGGAGTAGAGGATGGCGGCCCAGTGAGGACCTGCTGGAGTTCCTCTGGGCCGGGTCTGGTTCTCCATGACAGGTCTAGAATCTCCATATTGATAGGGCACTCTCAGATCATGGGCTAAAGGCACTCTCACTAACTAAACTCCCAAGAAACTAATGAATACACCCAAATGTGCCAATGTATCATTTATTGTAGGGAATAGTTCTTTGCAGTCACATAAATAATTGCAATCCATGTGTAAGGGACCTGGGAGGATGGGATCCCAATTACAATTGTGTGAACTAACCCTCCATACTACAGAGGCCCTCTCTCTACTGACTGCACACCTGTGGGTCTTGCCTCTCGCCTCTGAAAGGTACCAAATGATTGACCTTGGGGTTCTCCTTTCATGGACCCTCTCGTCGTTAACCTCATCAGCCTCTAGAGGATTCTATAGACGTAATCATACTATGGCTGCAGATGTGTTCTTTACTAGTGTGGCCCATTGGAAACCTAATCTGAGCCATATATGCAATTTAGAATGTTCTAGCAGCCCTATCAAAAAATGGCGAATGACTGGGCACAGTGGCTCACACCTGTAATCCCAGCACTTTGGGAGGTAGAGCCAGGTGGATCACCTGAGGTCAGGAGTTCAAGACCAGCCTGGCCAACGTGGTAAAACCTCCGTCTCCACTAAAAATACAAAAATTAGCCAGGTGTGGTGGCGGGCGCCTGTAATCCCAGCTACTCGGGAGGCTGAAGCAGGAGAATCTCTTGAACCTGGGAGGCTGAGGTTGCAGTGAGCTGAGATTGTGACACTGCACTCCAGGCTGGGTGAAAAAGGGAAACTCTGTCTCAAAACAAACAAACAAAAACAGAAACCCCACAAAAATTAATCGGGCATGGTGGTGCATGCCTGTAATCTTAGCTACTCAGGAGGCTAAGGTGGGAGGATCACTTGAGCCTGTGAGATTGCAGTGAGTGGAGATTGTACCACTGTACTCTAGCCTGGAATAAAAAGGAAAAACCCAATCTCAAAAAAAAAAAAAAAAAAAAAAAGAGAGTGAGTGAGTTAGGGTCTGTCTCTCAGTCGCCCAGTCTGGATGTGCAGTGGAGCGATCATAGCTCACTGTAGCTTCAAACTCCTGGGCTCAAGCAATCCTCTCACTTCAGCCTACAGAGTAGCCGAGACTTCTACAGACCCACACCATCATGCCCAGCTAATTTTTTGTGGAGACAGGTCTCACTTTGTTGCCCAGGCAAGTCTTAAACTTCTGGCTAAAGTGATTCTCCACTGCATCTAGCTGGCTCTGTTTCTGAAGGGAAAAAAAAAGGCATGCATAGAACACAGCACATCTCAGTTAGGATTAGCCACATTTCAAGAACTCAATAGCCACAGGTGGCTGGTGGCTACCACTGGATAGTGAGGCTCCACATAATCCCACTGGCCTCCCTGAGGTCACACCCAGTGAGAATCCTTCCTTCCTTTTTGAGTAAACAAATGTATTTTGAAATTATTATGGAGACTTTGAAACATATAGAAAGTCAGACAGGATAATAAAGTGAGCCCCCAAATCCATCACCCTCTATACCACCTGCTCCCCCCGCCAAGTATTGTCATTTTGAGCTCTTACGATGACAGGTTTCCGGGCATTGTCTAACGTGCTGCTCACAACCACCTCAGAAGGTCCAGGTGTTATTAATTATCCCCATTCTACACAAGAGGGAACTGGAGCTCAGAGAGGCCAAGTCCCCTTAGTCCTGAGGTGAGGCACACAGATTGCCGTGACTCCCTGTGCTTCTTGCTGTCTTGGAGCAAATCCAGTTGGCCAATTTTTGGTCTTTTTTTTTTTTTTTTTTTTTTTTGAGTCGGAGTCTCACTCTGTCGCCCAGGCTGGAGGAGTGTAGTGGCATGATCTTGGCTCACTGAAGCCTCTGCCTCCCAGGTTCAAGCGATTCTCCTGCCTCAGCCTCCCAAGTGGCTGGGATTACAGGCATCCACCACTACACCAGGCTAATTTTTCTATCTTTAGTAGAGATGGAGTTTCACCACGTTGGCCAGGCTGGTCTCAAACTCCTGACCTCAGGTGATCCACCTGCCTCAGCCTCCCAAAGTGCTAAGATTACAGGCATGAGCCACCTCGCCCAGCCAATCAGTCTTGTTCTTTGTCCCACTGTCCCATTTCCATGTGTGCCCACAGCCGGGCCCCAAGCCACCTTCCTCCTCCAGTCCTAGCATGCAGAGCCCCCAACAGTCCTGTTGCCCTGGACCCAAACAGCAACCCTCCCCCTACTAGCTGTGTCAACTTGCATGAGATCCTCAAACCTCAGTTTCCTCCTCTATAACATGAGAGTCGTAAGAGAGCCTACCAAGGGATGGTAGTGAGGATTAAATTACCAAATACACGTAAAGCCCTTAGCAGGCACTTGTTCTAATTGCTCATATGATAACTGTTGGTGACTTTTTATTTGCACTGACAATTTAGTGGATTATCCCAACAAAAAGTATTTGGATTTTAAAGAAGGACACCATTGGCTGGGTGCAGTGGCTCGTTGAAATCCCAACACTTTTGGAGGCCGAGGAGGGTGGATCGCTTGAGGTCAGGAGTTCAAAACCAGCCTGGCCAACATGGTGAAAACCCACCTCTACTAAATACACAAAAAATTAGGCAGGCATGGTGGTGGGTGCCTATAATCCCAGCTACTCAGGAGGCCGAGGCAGGAGAATCACTTGAACCCGGGAGGCGGAGGTTGCAGTAAGCCGAGATCATGACACTGCACTTCAGCCTGGGTGATAGAACAAGGCTCAGTCTCAAAAAAAAAAAAAGAAGGGCACTGTTGATCTTGCAGAATGGTGCCGGGATGACCAGTGATGGGCAGGATGGAGGGTGGGTAGGGGGAGACAGAACCAAGAGCCATCCAAGTGTCCCTGCCGGGGGTCTGTGCCAGCTTTCCTCTCCACCACCATCTCCCCCTAATAGGTGTGCGGAGCTTCTCCTCAGGTTTGGAGCGAGAGTGGATGGTCGGTCCGAGGAGGAAGAGGAAACGCCTTTGCATGTGGCCGCCCGGCTTGGTCATGTGGAGCTGGCAGACCTGCTTCTAAGACGGGGGGCATGTCCTGATGCCCGTGATGCCCAAGGCTGGACTCCACTGCTGGCTGCCTGTGATGCCCGCTGCCAGTCTACTGCTGATGCAGAGGCCACCACCACCCGCTGCCTGCAGCTGTGCAGCCTGCTGCTTTCAGCTGGAGCAGATGCCGATGCTGCTGACCAGGACAAGCAGCGACCCCTGCACCTGGCCTGTCGCCGTGGCCATGCAGCTGTCGTGGAGCTGCTTCTGTCCTGTGGCGTCAGCGCCAATGCCATGGACTATGGGGGACACACGCCCCTGCACTGTGCTCTGCAGGGCCCAGCTACAGCCCTGGCCCAGAGCCCTGAGCACGTGGTTCGGGCTCTGCTCAACCACGGTGCCATCCGATTCTGGCCAGGGGCCCTCCCCAAGGTATGGGGGACTGCAGGCAGCAGGAGGGCCACCAATGGTGAGGGGACAGGGAGACCTAGGCCTGTGCTCCAGCTTGCTTTGGAATGTGGCCTGGAACACCTGTGCACATAGTTCCTTCTGTCTTTCATTCAGCATGTAAGCAAAGCCCAAATAGGGGTAAAGGTGAAGACAGATCAGTGGGAAATGTGTGTGCGTGTGCATGTGTACACATGGTGTGCACGTGTGTGCATTTGTGCATGTGTACACATGGTGCGCATGTGTGTCCATGTGTTCATGCACATATGTGCATGTATGTACTGTGCATGGGTGAGAAAGGAGGACTGAGAGCAGTGGGGCCAGATGATAAAAGGATTCAAAAAGACGGAAGGAGTCAGGGCTCATGTGGGTGGCAGGCATTGCTTAGGGGTCTGCATCAGCACAGCAAACTGGTGAAAATAGCATTTGAGGAAGCTCCCACTAGCAGTGGGATCAGTTCAGTGACAGACGCAGGAGAGACTTCCCAAGGGAAGAGGGTGAACCTGTTTCAGGAGGCTCACAGTCCCCTGAACATCAGCAAATGGACACGGTCCCACTTTCTGAGAATCTAGCAGGACCCACAGGTGCCACTATCCTGGCACCTATGAAAATGCCTTTCACTGTCAGTTTCAATTTATATCCTGCTTTATCTTAATTTCCCCTAGGTGGGTTTGACTTGAAGACCTGTGCTACTGATGCCCTGGGAGGGGCCTTGCCCCATGCTGCGTCATGTCTGGAGGGGGTAGATAATGTCATGGAGGGCACTGGGCCTGGGATGGGGACATCTGTTCTCAGAGGAGATGGGTCAGACTGAAACCACCCTCTGAGTAGGCAGGTCCCCTCTGGCCCCGCCCAGGGTCTTGTCCCACCCAGCCTTGCCTGTCCTGGGGCCACCCCTGCTGTCCCAGCCTCTCCCCTTTGCTCACAAACCTAGAAGCATCTGTCTGGATTCCTAAGCAAGACCAAATAATTAAACAGCCCAAGAGTTCGGCAGATTGGTCTCCCCTTTGGGAAAATACGAGAAAATCAACAATTAACACTAATTAATCTCCTATTAACACTAGATAATTAGGAGACAAGCAATTCCCTGTAATCTGACAGCGGCTCTGACAGCTAATGATTTCCCCGGCAGGCAGGGGCGGGAGGAGGGCCCAGCACAGCGAAAGGATTTCCTGGGACCCCACAGCCCTGCTCTACCCCTCAGCCTGTCTCTGGGACCAAAGGGGTTGGCAGAGCAAAGTACCCCATTTGTCCCTTTCCATGATCTGCAGCCCTGCCAGCCTTGGCTGAGGGGTTTCTGTCCTCCCTGCACAGAAGCCTCCACTGCCCATCTGTGATAAAACACCAGCCCCCACTGGTTCTCTAGGAGCCACCACTTTGGACTTTGTACTCAGGGGACCTGGATCCTGGATGTGACTTTGATGCTTTTTCTTGTGGCTGTAGGCAACTCACTGCATGTGATACAGCCTCTCCCGAACAGGGTGGAAAGCTGTAGGAGAGCACTGGGGAACAGTCGGAGCACGAGCAGCCCTGACCACACACCAGGCACTGCTCTAAGCTGTATTTCCTGTTACAGGAGTTCCTCAGTCGTCCCAGTAACCTCTGAGGTCAGTGGTGACCAGTCGTGCAGGCTCCGGAGCCACACACACTCCCCGTGTGACCTTCGGCAAGTTGCTGAGTCTCCCTAGGCCTCAGCTTCCTCATCTGTAACATAGGGATATGACATGATGCCTTCTTCGTAGGGCTCGTGTGAGAAGAGCTAATACACATCAAGCCTGGTGCTTAACACTTGGTAGCTAGTGTTGTTCTCGTTATGTAACGGATGAGAAAGCACTTGGTAAGCTGATTGGCATCAACCCAATGAGGGTATCACTGGACATGGGAGAGTGCAAAGCAGGTTGGTGTAGCTGCATGGGCTTCCTGGAGGCAGGACTGGGATGGGCAGTTTTGGAGGGAGGGAGGAGAAAGAGGCAAGCATTCCAGGAAGGGTGGGCTGCTTGAGCCCAGTGCAGAGGTGAGGATCAACATGGGCCGGAATGCAGGTGGAGAGGAGAGTCGGAGGGAACCAGCCTGCTTTTCCCTAGCTCCGAGGAGGAGTGAGGAAAAGAGGCCTCCTGGGACAGGCTGGTGGGCACTGCTCAGATGTAGGGCTAGAAGCAGAGGGCCTGGATGTGTAAAAGGCTTTCTCCAGGGACCCCTGGAAGGCCAGGCCTTCTGCTCCCACTGATCATCAATACTCTCATCTGACAAGCAGAAGGGTCTCCTCTCTTTGCAGGCAGAAGCTGCCAAGCCCCCACTGTTAGATGCAATTGTATGTCTGGGCACATGTGGGTTGTGCTGAGATACTGCTTGAAAGATGGTACTTAGCTGTTTCCAGATCTTACAAAGGTTCTGTGGCCACAGCCTCTAGATATGCAGTGAGAGTGGAGTGCAGCGGAGGAGGCAGGAATCTGCTTCAGGTACCGAGTTCAGGCATGGGCAGGCGTCATGGTGCCGGTGTCTGTCAGGCCACCTTTCTGACTGTCCACAGGCTGCTCCACCACATGGCTTGCCTGCTCGCCACATCAGGGTTTCACTCTGTCACCCAGGCCGGAGTGCAGTGGCGCAATCTCAGCTCACTGCAACTTCTGCCTCCCGGGCTCAAGCAATTCTCCTGCCTTAGCCTCCTGAGTAGCGGGGATTACAGGTGCACGCCACTTCCACCCAGCTGATTTTTGTATTTTTAGTAGAGATGGTGGTATTTTCATCATGTTGGCCAGGCTGGTTTCAAACTCTTGACCTCAAGTGATCCGCCCACCTCAGCCTCCCAAAGTGCTGGGATTACAGGCATGAGCCACTGCTCCTTGCCCTGCTTATTTTTCATTGCAGCAGCAGATCTGAGAGTGATGACTTCTGTGTTTTTTATGTTGCTCTTGGATGATGAAGACTATTTTCCCCATTAGTCCTTGGCACATAATAGGCCTTCAATAAATATTGCTGAATGAAGCAATGAAAGCATAAGTCTGGCTCCGACTAGATCCCACCCCTGCTCCGACCACATCCTCACCTGCTGCTGTGGGCAGTCCAACAGCCTCTGGCTGCCTTGTCCCTTCTCCCGGAGTGCACTCCTGGCTCCGGGGTTCCCTTGCCTCCAGAACCCAGTCCTCCCTCTGTGAGCCCCTCCTTGGCCACCCAGAGCCCCCCTACTCCCTGGCCCCTTCTTATAGCTGTCTCTACCCTCACTTGATGGATTGTCTCTACCCTCACTGGAAGGACTCCCTTCCAGCCAGCAGAAAACCCAGTCCAGGACCTTGTAGAGGCAGAGAGGAGAGCAGGATGGGGCTGTGGTTAAGGACAAAGGGCTGCACTGCCAGGCCTGGACTGTGGGAACCACAACTTGGGCAAGTTAATTAACTTCTCTGTACCTCAGTTTCCCTTACTGTAACGAAGGAAATTGGATAATAACACGGGGATATTAACTGTCCACCCCAGCTGGGCGTGGTGGCTCATGCCTGTAATCTCAGCACTTTGGGAGGCTGAGGCGGGTAGATCATGAGGGCAGGAGATCAAGACCATCCTGGTTAACACAGTGAAACCCTGTCTCTACTAAAAATACAAAAGATTAGTCGGGTGTGATGGTGCACCTGTAGTCCCAGCTACTCAGGAGGCTGAGGCAGGAGAATCACTTGAACACGGGAGGCAGAGGCTGCAGTGAGCTGAGATCATGCCACTGTACTCCAGCCTGGGCAACAGAGCAAGACTTGGTCTCAAAATAAATAAATAAATTAAAAGTATAGCAGTCCATCCCTTGGAGGGAGGACAGTGGAGTTCATATATGTAAAGTGCTAGGAAAAGTATCTGGCCTGAGTTATGCAATAGAAAGGTTAGCTGCCGTACTGGCTTCCTGGATCAAACAAAGCACCACAGACTCAGTATCTTAAAGCAAAAGAAATGGAATCCCCTACAGCAATGGAGGCTGGAAGTTTGAAATGCAGGGGTTGGCAATGCTGGCTCCTTCTGGAGCCTCTGAGGGAGAATCTGTCCCATGGCGCTCTTGTAGCTTCCAGTGGTTCCCCACAATCCTCAGTGTCCTTTGGCTTGTACACGGGTCACTCCACTGTCTGCCTTTGTTGTCACATGGCCTTCTAGTCTCTGTAGGTGTCTGTGCCTCTGTATAAGAACACCAGTCATATTGAATGAGGCCCACCCTAATGACCTCATTTTAACACGATTACATCTGTAAAGGCCCTATTTCCAAATAAGGCCCCATTCATAGGTACAGGGGGTGAGGTCTTCAATACATCTTTTGGGAAACACAGTTCAACCCACAACAACTATTCTGTAGCTGTCTGGTCGCTCTGTGTGGACTGACTGGATACTCTACACGTCTGTGCCTCCTGCAGGTGCTGGAGCGTTGGAGCACGTGCCCTCGAGCCATCGAGGTCCTGATGAATACCTACAGCACTGTGCAGCTTCCGGAGGAGGCTGTGGGCCTGGTGTCTCCTGAAACTCTGCAGGTCAGATTCCAGGACGCTGAACATACAGCCTCTCAGCCTGGCCCCTAAACCGCAGCCCCCCACAGAAAGTACCCAAAGACGAACTTATGTCCCAGAAAGAGAACTTTTGGAGTGAACCCCTAAACATTCATTGTTTCTAAAACGTTCTGGTAGATGCCCCACCCCTCACCAGCCTACCCTGTAAGGAGGAGCGGGCGCCACCTGTCCAAGGCTGCCCATCACTGAGCCCCTCGTTCTGTCTCTAGAAACATCAGCGTTTCTACTCCTCCCTCTTTGCCTTGGTGAGGCAGCCCAGGTCGCTGCAGCATCTGAGCCGCTGTGCACTCCGCTCCCACCTGGAAGGCAGCCTGCCCCACGCGCTGCTCCGCCTCCCCCTGCCACCGTGCCTGCTTCGCTACCTGCAGCTGGATTTTGAGGACGTGCTCTACTAGGTGAACCCCAGGATCTGTGAGCAGTCACAGCTGCTTGGGGGGTCCAGAGATGGGTGGGAGGAAAGAGAATCACTGGGGAGGGCCCTGGCCAGAACCAGCACCAGAAGCCTCTGAATCCAAACCTCTCCTTCCAGATGTCCACGGCCTTTTGAGAGGGCAAGAAAGCAGATACCCCAGCCTACAGAGGGCGCTCCTCTGCACCAACTCAGGCCAGGTAGCCCAGCTCCACAGGCAGGTGTGGATGCTGTAATTCTCCATGCACAAAGGCGGACCCACCGAGGCAGCCAGGTGATGCCTGATGAAGACACACTCCTGTTGAGGCTCTCCCAGGCCCCCTTCTAGCCTGTGCAAACCCTGTATGTGCATTAAAAATCTCCAGGTCTGTGTTTAGTGCTGTCTCCAACAGACCTTCCTCTGAACCGGCTCCTTTGCAGGGGAGTCAGGATGGGCAGACTGACAGGGGGTCCCTGACTGCCCCATGGTGCCAGCTGCATCATCTTCCCCTTTGGCATCAGCCAGCTGTTAAGGGGTTCCAGGCTTGCCAGCTTCGTGAAATGACAGAATGGCCAGCAGGTGAGAACGCGTTAGGAAGGGCCTAAAGGAGGTGCGCGGTGCACATGGAGGCAGCGCAGTTCGGCAGGAAGGCACAGGAAGCCTTGGGCTAGGGAGGTGAGGAGGCAGGAGAACCACCCAGAAGGAAGGGCACGTAGGGTGGCCCATCGCGGAGGGCAGCCATGGCTCAGGTGACAGCGAAAGGCCCAGGTTTAGAAAACCACAATCAGCTCTGCCTATTGCCTGACACGGTAGGTCAGGAAGCATCAGAAGCACGCCTGGTTCCGGCCTCTTTTATCTGCTCCTTCCTTAAATTTAGCTCTGTGGCCGCAAAAGCGCTGTGCTGAAAGTTACATGATCCAGGTTCTGGTCTTAACTGCCATTAACTCGTGGAATGTAAGTCTCTTCTCTCTCTGGGCTCACGTTTCTGCATCTGTAAAACGAGAGGTGGAGTCCCTGAGGGTTATTGCAGTATAAGGATTTTCAGAACCTTGCCAGAGGCCCCAGCAGCCAGGAGCGGCCTGCAACCGCAGGTGGAGGGCAGGTAGGTGGTCGGGACAGAGCAGCCAATCAAGCACACGCTGATCCCTGAGGTCAAGGGTCGCTGACCAGAATTCCCCCAGGCGCCGGAGTGCGCCTGCGCAGGAGCTCGCGACTTTCCCGCCAACCGCCGCACGCAACGCGTGAAGGGCGGGGCCTGGAGGGCGCGAAGCCAGATTTGGCAGCGAGAAGTTGGTTGAGGAGAAGCGGAGAGGAAGTGAGATGGCCCCGATTCCCACCCTGGCCTCACCGACCTTGGGCTGACCGGCCTGTCTGGCTTCAGGTGCTGGGGTGCGGCTTAGGGACACGGGTGCGGGTGGGCAAGCGGTGGAAGCCCCTCGCTGTGGAAACCCCAGGCGGCCCCGACCCCACCGGCTCCACCTCGCGGGTGAAGGTCGGGGCAGGAAGCGGCTGCCCCGAGTCGAGGAGTCGAGGCGCGTGCGCGGGAAGCGGGTGCCCGAGGCCCACTCCTGTGGAGGGCCTGCGGGGCGCCCCATGGAGACCGCGGTTCGGGGTCCGGGGGACGGCCTAGTGCTCGATGGTTTGTTCCACAGCCGTTCCGGGGGGCCTGCTGCGTTCAGGCACCGCCGCGCGGGGGCAAGGCCAGCCCTCCAGGCCCCCCCAGGGTCCGCTTGCGCGGGGGACCCAGAGCTGCGGCGCACAGGAGGACGCAGCAGCTGCTGCCGATCTCGGGGAGAGACTTACGGGGCCGGGGTTTGGAAGTGCGAACTGTTTTAGATCCGGTGACAGGGAAACCTGCTCTCCCAGGAGGTGACATTTAGCCTGAGACCTGATTAGAGCGGGTCAGCAGGGGTGGCAGCACGGACCGCCCTGGCTGCGGGCGTTGGGGGGGGGGGGCACCTGCGGCGGTGGTCCAGGCCAGAGGCGGTCGTAGAGGGTGAGATTCGGGATCCCTGGGGAGAACTGGGGAGGGGCGCTGAGGGGGATGTGGGGGCTGCAGAAGAGCGCTGTCTAGGGCAACTGCCTGGTTTTTGGCTTGGACCCCTGGTTGGACGGTGGTGTCAGTTGCTAAGGTGGGGAAGACGAAGAAGGACCTGGAAGCAAAAGACCGTTGTTAGGGAGATGGCAGTGGAGCCGCCTAGGAAGCATTTCAGCGGCTGTGGCCCCAGGCGTGGGGATCTGGGAATCTGGGGCCGGGCCGAGCGCCAGTCTGGGCATCTTGCAAGTGCCGGCTCGCTGGAGCGAGAAAGAGTTCGGAGCTCTGCTCCCAGGGAATCCCGACCCCCCGGGGATGACTTGGCCGAGAGAGTCCTGTTGGTGAATTTTGATGGAAATTCTATTCGATCGCATCTACTTGGTTCATTGTGTCCTTCCGGGGCCCCAGGTTTCAGGTGCTCCATGCACTGCTGGGAACGAGACACACTCCTGCCCTCAGTGAATCTTCAGTCTAGTCTGAGAAACAAGTGTGTGAACAACCTTTTAGAATACAGGGGCAATAGGATGAATGCAAGATAAACGTGGGATCAGGAGCTGTGGGCGTGAAGAGGAGGGCGAGGAATGAGACTGGGATCTGGAAGGGCATCCCAGAAGGAGGATCCTCCTCTAAAGTGATAGGAAGAGTGGGGAGGATTCCTGGCCACATCTGGAGAGCCAGTGATCATGGGATGCCTTTTTAAGGATGGGGAAGGGAAGAAAGGCGATGTGGAGTGGTGGCTGTGAAGGGGCTGTGTGCAGCTTCACATGTTGTCCCCTTAGCGGGGCAATGTCAGGAGGGTCCTTCCTGGGGTTAGACATTCAGACTCTTGTGAGCCAGGGCGCTTCCTCCCCAGCCTCCTGGCTGTTGGTCCCGCGGGCCCAGAACCTCTCCCTGGTAATTGCTTTTCGTAATGTGTTTGCTCCAAACCAATTTCACGCCTCCGTGAGGACTCCGCCCTGCACTGGAGGCACGGATCTCCCCACTACCAACCTACCCGCGTGTGAACTCGTGGGCTCACACATACGGCACACATTTAACACAGCAGACAGGGTTTGGATACCAGGGCACACTAAACATACTTAACCCTACACTCACGCACACTAGACGTTAAGACACTCATGTACAACCCCCTCTCTCCAACTAGTGCATTCACAGTTTAGCACCCAGAGGCCTCTCGCTCTCGCCCTTGGATGCTCAGTTGGTGGTTTCTTTGCCCTCGGCGCGTCTCCTAGACTATCGCCAGGGGGCGCTGCAGCACCTACACCTCCTCGGTACCCGCAGTTGTGCGCTGCTGCCACCAGAGGGTACCAGCGGCCAGGCCCGACGCTGCCCACCGTGAGAGGACTTTCTCCGGCCAATGAGTGTTGGAGGTATAGATTTATTGGCTCTGACTTGAATACTTTGTTCTTTCTTAGCATCCTTGGTGCTGTTTGGCAACACACGAAGCCCAGGTCAGGCTAGATGATGAGGCCATGGTGGGCATACAGAGGGTAGATTAAAGATAAAATTCCTCTGTAGGAGCATTTCCCAAATGTCAGAGAACATGGACAAACAAAGCTGCACTTTTAGAATTCTGTTTTGGACAGTGAGACCAGGTACTTGCCCATAATGAGTCTGTTCAGGAATTCAGTATGAGAACCACAGTTTTTCACTGATAAAGAAAGGAGCTAGCTCTGTTCAGATTTGACAGAGGCAAGGTCTGTACTCGGTACTGATGAGAGAGTAAGAAGTAGTTTTTGGAGTGCTCTGGATTTCAGGGAAAATGAGTCTTTTCCCTTCTTGGGCACTCTTTGTCTATTTAGTGCAGGAAGAGCTCATTTTGGAGGGTGTTTTTTCATATTCACTTGACCCTTGCCCTTGCTTTTTGACTAGGCAAAGTTTTTGTTATTGTTATTTCTTTTTCTTTTCATTTTTGAGACAGAGTTTCCGTTTTGTCACCAAAGCTGGAGTGCAATGGTGTGATCTCGGCACACTGCAACCTCCACCTCCTGGGTTCAAGCAATTCTCCTGCCTCAGCCTCTGGAGTAGCTGGAATTACAGGCACGTGCCACCACACCCAGCTAATTGTTTGTATTTTTAATAGAGACAGGGTTTCATCACATTAGCCAGACTGTTCTCGAACTCCTGACCTCAGGTGATCTGCCCGCCTTGGCCTCCCAAAGTGCTGGGATTACTGGCCTGAGCTACCACACCGGCCTACTGTTATTTCTAAGACAGGTCCTGCTCTATCACCCAGGTTAGAGTGTAATGGCACAATTTCTGCACACTGAAACCTCAACCTCCCCAGCTCAAGTGATCCTCCTACCTCAGTCTCTGGAGTAGCTAGGACTACAGGCATATGCCACCATGCCTGGCCAATTTTCAATTTTTTTTGTAGAGACAGGGTCTCACCATATTGTCCAGGCTGGCCTTGAACTCCTGGTCTCAAGTGGTTCTCTCACCTCGGCCTTCCAAATTGTCAGGATAACAGACGTAAATCACTGTATTCAGTCAGAGTAGATGTTTATCACTCTCCCTCACAGATAGAGATGTCAAAGAGGAGTCAAGGTCACAGAGCCCAGTGAGGGGTCAGAACAGGAATTTGACTCCAGGTCTTTTTACCTTAGCCAGTGCTTCTTTCCATTTACCATGTGGCCTGAGTTCTATGTTCTATGAAAGGGCAGGGAAAGGAAGTGGGTTGCTGCAGTTGCCACTATGTATGCCAATGTGACTGTATGTCAGGTACTTCACAGAAGTCACACTTCGTGTCTCTAGCATGGCAAGGGAACAGATAGAGGATATAAATGGGTTGTGAAATACAGTATCCAACAAACACCACACCAGGTCAACAGAAGTACTTGAGGTCTTACTTGCCTCTGTTCAGAATTGGTGGGCCACTGGGATTTATTGGCACTAAGCTGGAAGTATGTATTTCCTGTGCCAGCTTGAGTAGAGAATCCACTTTACTGAGTATAGTTCTAAGCAATAAGCTCTTGGCTTGAACTAGGTGACATACATCTTCAAGATCAGAGCATCTTTATTTTATTTATTTTTTGAGATGGAGTTTTGCTCTTGTTGCCCAGGCTGGAGTGCAGTGGTGCAATCGTGGTTCACCATAACCTCCACCTCCCAGGTTCAAGCGAGTCTCCTGCCTCAGCCTCCCAAGTAGCTGTGATTACAGGCATGTACCACCATGCCCAGCTAATTTTGTATTTTTAGTAGAGACGGGGTTTCACCATGTTGGTCAGGCTGGTTTTGAACTCCTGACCTCAGGTGATCCACCCACCTTGGCCTCCCAAAGTGCTGGGATTATAGGCATGAACCACTGTGCCTGGCCCAGAGGGTCTTTAAAACATTTTTTAGAGACAGCGTCTCCCTCTGTCACCCAATTTGGAGTACAGTGGTGTGATTATAACTCACTCTAATCTCCAACTCCTGGGCTCAAGCAACCCTTCTGCCTCTGCTCCCAAGTAGCTAGGGCTACAAGTGTGTGTCACCATGCATGGCTAATACAATCAGAGGGTCTTTTAACCTTGAGTCCTTGACACACCAGAAAGTGACAGGCTTCTTAAAGTGGCCTTTTATTGAAGGTATTGGTAGAAGAGAGATGTTTCAATATATATCCTTTCGAGCTTTTGGAATTTTGTACCATGTGATTTCATTGCCTAAACAATAAATGAATGCAATTACTTTTAAAAATGACTCTTCCTTCATGCCTTATTTAATTGGTCCTGTAACTGCTCATACAGGTTTAATTTCAGTTATTGTATCTCAAAGTTGCCTCAATAATTTATCAAGTCAATAAGCCTCTTATGTATCCAACAATGTTAAGCCCTCTCACTTTAAAAATACAATATACTTTTGAAGCTTGGTTTTCATGTTGGTATGGTAAAGTGCTTGGTTAATTTAACAAATGGGCGTTCTGAAGAATATCTTTAGACAAGTCCTTTAGTAGTGAGTTGGAGTTCCCAGACCTAAGCTAAGGCACCTCTTCTTTCTCCATCATGACATCTTACACCAGACTCGTTTCTTAGAAATTTCACTGAGCTTAATGTGGTGCCCAAGGTAGATCAAGACTGCATGGAAATGACACTCTTCTCTGTTCACCTCTGATGAATTGTCAGTTAAGGCATAACCAAAAAACTCTCAATTCTTGAGTCCTGCTCCCTTCCTCAGTCCACCCTGGTGACAGTGTGTTTCAAAGTACTGATTTAAATACATCAGCCTGACATTAACAGTGTTCACTAGGCTAACACAACATTCCTGATGGAACAAATGTCACTGAGATCCAGAGTTCCCTCTTGCTCTGCTCTGCCTTGGCGAGGCAACCCTGGGACTCATGTAGATTTTCCTCCTCGCCGGACCCAAATCACTTCCCCTACCTAGACTGCATCTTCCTAAACTTGCCTGGTTTTGCTGTTATTAATTTTAACTAGCTTGGCTCTGCCTACCCTCGCCTGAATAACAATTTTCTTGTGACCAGATGACACTCACTGTAGCTAGCCAGGCTGGCTCTGTGTCCTGAAGCTTGAGTCACTCTTCTGTTGACTTGCCTGTCTTAAGTCTCTTTCTTGCCCACTGACCTGAGGTGGCTATCAAGCCAAAGTGTCTGTGACTTTTGCCTCTAGATTGACAACTCTACTGCTGGGAATTGGGAGTAGGAGGAGAACAGTAAAAAGCGCCACCATTTCTGTGTCTCAGAAGGGGGGAGGTGAGAGTCATCTGCAATTATCGGATAATTAGCGCTGCTGACCCTTGGGGCTCATCAACGCTCCTGGGGCCAGCCCCCAGCAATCAGCCAGGGCAGGTCGTGAGTGTCAGGCCCGGGAATGAATAGGGCTCATCAGCGGCGCTGGAGCTGGGGAGCCAATCAGGGAAATTAATAGCAGAAGAGAGGGAGAGGGTGCGAGGGAGGGAGACAGGAGATAGACAGACAGACAAGAGATACAGTTAAAGGGGAGAAATGAGAAAAACCAAGTAAGAGGGACTGGATAAGGAATGAGAAATGGGAAAGAAATAGGAAAAGGAACTAGGACGGGAAAGGGAAGAGGAGTGGGAGAAAGAAAAAGAATGTAAAGGATGGGAGAAAGATGGAAGGGAAAGGTGAGAGGAATGGTAAGTACTTGGCATAGTGTAGGCACTCGAGGAAACTACCCACAGAGGCGAGAGAAAGGGACTAGAGGAAGTTGGCGACGGTGGAGGGAAAAAGGAAGAAGGTGAAGAGCCAGTGCCAAGAGAATAGAGAGAGACCAGAGGCCAGAGTGTGAATGGGGCAGACGGACAGGAGGAAAGGGGCCCCGTAAGAGTGGCCCTAAGCCGCAGTACCGGGTGGGTGCAGCGCGCCCCCTACCGGCCCCGCCTCGCCTCCCTCAGCCCCGCGCTCTCGCTGGAAGGGGCGGCGGCGGTGCTGTCCCGCCCGTCGCGCTGGAGCTTGCTCTGGGGACCGCCACGACGTCCGCTCCACGGGCGGGGGAGGGGTGTCGGAGCCGGGAGGTACGCCGGGGAATGACTCGGGGTCCGACGGAGGGCGGCGGCCCAGGGCAGAGGGGTGCTGTGGTCCGCCCCGCTGCCTGTCCCTCCTGGTGCGCCCTCCCCGCCTGCCGCCTGGCGTCCCGTCCGCGCTTGGCTCCGCCGTCCCGTCGGAGCCTGGGCCACCACCCGCTCGCCCTCCGAGCTGGGCCGAGCCCGGGCCGGGTGGGTTGAGTTGGGGGTGGAATGAGTGAAGGGAAGGGGACTGGGTGGAGGGAAGGGGACCAGCCCAGCAGCTGCAGCCGCCTTCTCATCGGCCGCAAACTTTCACAAAGCTGCATGTCCGGCCTCATCAATCTCCATTAATAATAGTTGGTTGAACCGTGGGGGGTGGGCGGGGGTCCCAGGTCGGCCGGCCGCTGGGAATGGGCTCTGTGGAGGGAGCGCGAGCCGGGCGCGGCGGCGGCGGGCGGAGGGAGGAAGTGAAGCGTAATTTGAGGAAGATGGATGAGTCCGGAGAGCGACACCCCCAGCCCGCCTGCTCGCCCGCCCCCTCCCTCCTTATGAGAGAGAGGGAGCGCGGCGCCGGAGCCACACTGCGCCGAGCCCGCGCCCCGCCGCCACCTCGGCCCGGGAGCCAGGGAGCGAGCCCTGCGTGTCAGCGCGGGGCGCCGGAGCCGCGGGGCGCACGGAGGCACCTGGAGGGGAGCGCCCCGGGGCGGCCGCAGCTCCGAACAAGATGCAGCGGGCCGGAGGCGGTGGCGCCCCGGGGGGAAACGGCGGGGGCGGCGGCGGGGGCCCAGGCACTGCCTTCTCCATCGATTCCCTGATCGGGCCGCCGCCGCCGCGCTCCGGCCACTTGCTCTACACCGGCTACCCCATGTTCATGCCCTATCGGCCGCTCGTGCTGCCGCAGGCGCTGGCCCCCGCACCGCTGCCCGCAGGTCTCCCGCCCCTCACCCCACTAGCCTCCTTCGCCGGCCGCCTTACCAACACCTTCTGCGCGGGGCTGGGTCAGGCTGTGCCCTCGATGGTGGCGCTGACCACCGCGCTGCCCAGCTTCGCGGAGCCTCCTGACGCCTTCTACGGGCCCCCGGAGCTCGCCGCCGCTGCTGCCGCCGCCGCCACTGCCACCCGAAACAACCCCGAGCCAGGCGGCCGACGCCCAGAGGGCGGGCTGGATGCCGACGAGCTGCTGCCGGCCCGGGAGAAAGTGGCAGAGCCCCCGCCACCTCCGTCTTCGCACTTCTCAGAGACTTTTCCAAGTCTGCCCGGTAAGTGCTGGGGCCGACCAGGGCGGGCTGGAGGCCCGTTCACCTGGAACTTCTGGCCAGGAACCTGCTCAGAACCTCGGCACCTGCCTGGACCTTGAAGTCCCAGACCTTTAGATCGCGCTCAGGTTCTGGCTCCAATTCAGTTCCAAATACAGCTTCTTTAGGTCCCAGAACCCCTGCCCTGCTCTGTCCCCGTAGCCCCGGAGGCTAAATGAAGACTTTCCAGTGCCCCCTTCACATTAGTGCCTTTCCCTCAGCATCCTAGCTATCAAGCCTTGGCCCCGGCTCCTTTTCAGAATTCCATTTTTTTTTTCTCTCCTCTGCCGGGGTTAGACAAGCTACAAGGAGGGGATTTCTGGGGGCATCAAGATGGGGGTATGTTGGGGCAGCTCTCAGTTCAGCATTGGAGGGCACATTCTGGCTTCTAAAGAGATCATACTGACCAGAAAAGCTCAAAGCGTGGGTATAGGCTCTGTGGATACAGGGGCAAAGGGAGGGTCTTAAAGCCGTGACTTCTGAATTGGCAGATTCAGAGCTAAGCCTTGAAGAACTGAGTAGGGGGCCAAAGAGAACATGAGCCTACAGGATGCCTAGCACACTCTGGACAAGTGCTGACTAGGATGCCAAGAGAGAGGCTACAGGCTGGGCTGAGTTGGGTGTGGTCCAAAGACTGGAGTGCAGAACCCAGCTAAGATTCAGCTGACAGATAATTCAAGAGCCCTGGACCCACCATGAATGGTGCCCTCTCCATAGAAGTAGGGTGTATTAAACTGAACCTTGTTTAGAGTCAATTCAGTTAGAGCCCTCCTGACCGCTCTGTTGGTCCTTAACTCCTAGAAGCCAGAAAAGCTTTCTTCTGGCTAGAGATTCAGGTGTTCTGAGATCCAAAGCTTATACTATTTGGTGGGGCCTATTTAAGAAAAGCAGGGACCACTTGCAAGTGTGGGGACTTTGATGCTTCAACATCTTTAGCATCAAGATGGAACTGCCTCTGCGCAACCATTCATTGCATCCAGCTTAGAGGTGGAAATGACCCTAGTAGGCCTGGGGGCTGACTTTAACAGAGACAAGAAGGGAATGCAAGAGTGCTTTTGTCCTTTGCCAGGAGAGGCAATTATTGATTATCGGTTTCTGTGCTTTCTGACATTGTCCAAAGGGTTAATCACCCTTACAGACCCCAAAGGCGGTCATAGGGCCTGTCTTCCTATTCTTTTCTCCTTTAGCCCTGGCATTTTGGTTTTGGGGATTCAGCTGTTGTTTTCTTTTTTGTGCCTAGTTGGATCAGGAGGATCCAGTAACTGAAGTCAGAATAGCATCTTCTAAGTGGGATCATAAGGAAAAGATAGAGCAGCAACTGGAAGGTGGGAGAAAATGTCCACAAGATAAAAGGGCCCAGGGTGGGAGCCTAGAAGCCAGTAGGATGATCTTAAGAAGAAAGGGTTAGTATGATTGTCAGAATTGGGTGGTCCTAAGGCAGAAAAAAGAGAAGGCAGGCCATCAAAGAGATGGCTTTAGAGGCAATAGGACCTGGAGGTGTAACCAGACACATCTAGAAAGAGATGAGCTGAAGAGAGACGATAGAGGGGGATCCCTTGGTAGGGGGACAGAGGGGCATATGCCCAAACCATGGGATAGCAAGCAATTTGTCCCACCCTTTCAGGTCCTCTCAGTTCTTATTTTGACCCATATGTATAATGGGGGCTCTTTTCTGGATCATATAGTATATTGGATATAAAAACAGACATTGAGAAAAAAGGAATAAGCAGAGAAAAAGAACAGAAGAGAAATATTGATGAAACAAGAATAGACAAAAGGACCAGGGGATGAGCTGTATACTGGGAATATCCAAAGAACATGAAGAAGGAGAGGGTTCTCTGCTGGAAAAGGGACTCTTGACTGGACTAAATCAAAAGTGAACTTTATTACTGGACTACAAGTGTGAGTGAGAGAGAGAGAGAGAGAGAGAGAGAGTGTGTGTGTGTGTGTGTGTGTGTGTGTGTGTGTAAGAGTTCTGTCACGTGAGGATTTGGGGGGAACTAAATAAAAATGCTCGGGGAACAAGGAAAAGTTTCAACACTAGAAGTAATACTGAGAATGATAAGAAAGTGGAATTTATATGAAATGATAAAGACAAGAGCTTCACCATCCGAGGAAAATGTTGGAAGTGAAAAAAAAAAAAAAGATTTGTGTTCTTGGAGTAAAGCAAGGAATTTTTTTTGTCAAGAATGATGGGAAGGAGAACTTACAGAGGAAGAATTTTGGTAAAGTGCTGGAATAAAGACAATCACTCATGCTGGGAGGAGATACATGTAAAAGGTTTATAGTGGGGGGGAGGCTGCGATAGAGTAGTAAGGAGGAAAGGCTTCAGAAGAAACGTTCAAAGAGCATGAGGAATGAGAGCTCCTATCTGTGACCACTGCTTCTGTCACTCTTAGCAAACATGCTTCCAACTCTTCCTAGCCAAGCCATTCACATCCACCTTCCCAATCTTGAGTTTTTCCTGAAATCATTGAGAAAAGAAAATGCAATTCCAGAAATGAGAGACATAAAATCAATTTGGAGACTGATGACACATGACCCAGGCTAAAAATGGTTGGAAAATGAATACTCTGTTTTGGGAATTGTTTTCAAGTATTTGGAGTGAAATGACAGAGTTCTCTGCTGTGAATAATGGGATTGAAACCTCAACATTAGAAGAGTTTGGAGAAATAATGCAATCTTTAAATGACAGAGGAGAAATTGTTTTCTTGGTGTGAATGAGTGACATTGGTCTGAATTGATTATTAATTTATATTTGTTTAGTGTTTTAGAACTGCTAGCCCGTTTAAATGAAATCATAGTATAGATAGGCCAATTTGGAGAATGATTAGTGAGGTTATTTTTTGGGGAATTACAGGGGCTTTTTAAAAAAAATTATTGACAGTTAAAACAGTTACCATTCTCTACTAGAACTGACGAAGGATAAAAGGAACTTTGTTATGATTTGATTGTAGGAGTAGAAGCCATATTAGCAGATGAAAATAAATATGATATATAGAAGTAATTGAGTAGAAAGTTATTGGAAATGGTAGATTGAAAAGAATCCCAGGTTTGGCATGTGGGGAGCAGTGGGGAAAATGGAGAGAATGTCTTTTAGTAAAAGTGATAAAAGAGGAGAGAATTCTGAACTATTGGGGAAGATTAAAGTATGACTCAATAGAAGAGCCTAAAGTAGTGCTGGCTAGTAGAGATATATGCAAGCCACATATATCATTTAAAAATTTTTATTGGCCACATTAAAAAGATAAAAATAAGCAAAATTAATAATACATTTTTAAATTCAAGATGTCCAAAATATTATTTCAACATTAATTAACATTTTAATGAGATAATTTTATATTCTTTTTTCATATTAAGTTTTCAAAACCCAGTGTTATTTTACACTTCCAGCACATGTCCATTTGGATTAGCCATGTTTCAGTTGGTCAACAGCCACATGTGAGCAGTGGTGACCATATTTAACATAACCAATCTAGAGAGTTTTAAGAACACAGTCATCTGAAAGTGATGGAGGAAAAGGAGCTTCAAATTGGATATTGGGTCCTCAGTGTATTAGGAATAATGGAGAGAAGACAGCAGGAAGCTCTAAATGACAGGAGAGAACAGAATTCTGCCTTAGGTGGGATGGGCTGAGATGATCTCGCATATCTGAAGGTTTGTGTGAGCTCTGGCTGAGAGTAACTGAAGCTAACTTGCTGTGTGCAAGATGTGGTGCAGATATGCATCACAGCGACAATGGGTGAAAAGGATGCTATGTAGTTGGGGAATGATGAAACGAGCTGTGAATGTGGAGAAATGAGAAGAAGGCTGGGCACAGTGGCTCACGCCTATAATCCCAGCACTATGGGAGGCCCGAGGTGGGTGGATCACCTGAGATTGAGACTTCGGACCAGCCTGACCAACATGGAGAAACCCTGTCTCTACTAAAAATACAAAATTAGCCAGGCATGGTAATGCATGCCTGTAATCCCAGCTACTTGGGAGGCTGAGGCAGGAGAATTGCTTGAATCCGGGAGGCAGAGGTTGCGGTGAGCCGAGATCGCGCCACTGTACTTCAGCCTGGGCAACAAGAGCGAAACTCCATTCCCCCCACCCCGCACAGAGAAGCAGAAGAAAACTTTGAGTTGGGGTTGTCTAGGGCAATTATTCACTCAGGGGAAAAAAAAGATTGGATTGCCTGAATGCAAAAGCTTAGGAAATGAGGAACGGTAGATACTCTATATATATTTGTTAGATGGATGACAAAAATGTAGTGAGAGATTGACGTGAAAAATAATGCCAGTATTGGTTATGGTAAAGAAAACATTTGTAGTTTAAGGTTATATAGAAGATATGGGAATACGATGGGACAAACCTGAGACACGTTGGTGTAGTAAACATTATTTTTTTAAACTAAGCAGAAAAATATTTGCTAATTTCTGAATAAAGATTGGCAATAACAATGGAAATCATGCAAGGAAACCAGAAAGACTTCTTAGGAGCATAGTATTCAAGTGCTGATTACTGTGAGCTAAGCACCTGATTGTAGCTAGAGAACATTTGGATGACCATTAATTAATATCTGAATAGGTATCCATTATGATTGTCAAGATATGATATTTACTTATGAGAGGAAAACAGAACATGATAATGCAACGTGGAATTAGAGACTTATGTTGTTAGAAACAAGAGGGAGATTTCTGGGGGAAGCGAGGGAGATCCAGAGTATGTTTTCCTAGAACTTTTGAGCATACAGTGAGAGTGATTGCTACATTGACATTTATAGAAAGGCAAATACTGCATTAACTTAATGTGATTGATGGAACATTTGTTTAGGAGTTATGACACATGGGTTCAATTCTCACCTTTGTCACTCATTAATTGTATAATTCTGACAAGTCACTTAGTTCAATTCAGGGAACATTTATTGTGTGTCTATTAAAGATGTAGTATGTTTGAGACACAGTGGGAGAGTCAAATTC